CTCGGTCAAACAGGGGAAAAAAAGTGAAAATTTCCTGAACTTCCCACAGGGGTTTCAGGCGCCCGGTCCCACCGAGGGCGGCCGCGCTCCGGCGTCACAGCAAAGTCACCAGGTTAGGATTCATGACTAAAATGTATGAGATATATTCCTAATGTAGGTTTAATCACTTCAAAATCAGACTGAGTTTAAAAAATAAGTATTTCCCGTTTTCTATCCTTTTATTTATTTTTTTTTTTTTTTAACTGACATTTAATAAATTATAAAATTGGTGTATGGTGAAATATATATATCAGCCAGATATGTATGAAATACACATGCATGGGAAAAAACTATTTAACTCACTTTTAACTCACACACACAGATCTATAAATACATATATACACACACATATACATATAAACACAAACATTTGTTTTCAAAATTCAAGTCAACTATTTAGTGGCAGAGGGATGCTGTAAAAACACTAAAAACAATTTTGATGCCACATAATGTGAACCTTTCAAATAACCATACGACTGATCATACAGCAATACCTAATGCTACTTGGATTAAAGATTTTTTTTTTCTTTTTTCCTTTTTTTTTCCTTTTTTTTTTCTTTTTTAATCAATGCAAGATTTTTGAGACAACTTCATAGGCAAAAGGTGGCCCTTGTCAATGCTCAAAGCAACTAGCTGCAATCAACAGTTTTGGACATGAAAAATTCAGACAAGAATCTGCTAATTTTAGTATTCCTTACTCTCTCTTCCTGATAAACTTGTTACCTGCACTTTCAACCAGTTATAAAAATATTTTTCACACCAGAGGAAATATTTACTCTCTCTGACATGGACTTTGGGACACAAGAGAATCACCTCCTTCCCTCCCCCTTCTCTTACTTTAAAGAATCTCCTGAAAAACTGCATTCCAGCTATTTACACATTTCACTCTTTAGTAAGAATGGATCAGTCCAAATGACCCACCAGTTCTACACAAAAAAAAAAATAAAAATTTCCTATGTCATGCACAACTTAAAAAAAAAAAAAGAAATCAGGAAGTAAGTATGGCTCAAATTCAACATAAGCGTACTGAAAAATCAGGGAAATCAAAATAATTACAAGGCCAAAAAGAGAAAACTGAAATTTGAAACCCACTACCCTAAGAGACTTCAATAGGCAGCAAAACATTTGAGTCCATGGGCTACAGGGTGAGGCTTTTTTATTGGGTTGGTTTTTGGTTTAAAAGACTCACATTGAACATTTAATATTAAATTTTGATGAATGTGATCTCAGAAGACAGTGTACCAAGACCATTATCAGCTGCACAAACCATGCAATAAGTGTGTTGGTATTTGTATGTTCTTCCTTTTGTTGAACAAGTTCACTTTTAAGCAGGAATTTGATCTACTAGAGCTCTAAGTAGGTTTCTCCAGACAGAACGAGAGAGGCCTCAATTCAATAGGCCGTTTATACACGCATGGCTAACTTTAAAGCACAAGCAGTTCCACAAATTTAAAAATGACACATGCTTAATATTTTGCTGATTAAGATCTTACGTTAATTTAACAGGATTTCATAGCAAGTTCTCAGAAACAAAACCCTACAGTCCAATGTGTCGATGCTTTTATTTGGGGCTAGAGTCTATAAAAATTCCCTGTCTCGTCCCACAGAAGCACAGCCAAGTGAATCCTCAGCCTGAGATTTTATTGAGTCTGGCCCTCGAGAATAATTGGTGCACTAATGAGCGTGCAACATGCTTGATTAAAGCACGGAATTTAAAAAAAAAAAATAAAAATTGTCCGAATAGAGGGTCATGAAGAACCAGAAATGCCAAAAAAAAAAAAAAGCCCAAAATCCCAAAAAACCAAACCCACTCCTGAAAGGCTACATCCTGCAAACAGAGGGGATGCTGTGCAACAGTTTGGGTAGGGTTTATTCCGCTTTAAGCATAATAAAACCTGCACTAAATATGGGATGAGGGAATTAGATTCCAAAGGTAAATGTCTCCAAGAGGAGAAAAAATCCTCTCACAAGTTTGAACTTTAAAAGTTCAGCTCCTTTCCTGTTTATGTTACTGTGAAGAAAATAATGCCATTTGTGTCCAAACTATGGGGGGGGGAAAGTAACTTACATGACAAATGCACAGGTGTAAAATCTTCAACATCCATAAAAATGAACTGAAGCTCCTTGTTTTTGTTAATTTTTTTTTTGTTTTGTCTTTTTTTTTTTTTTCTTATTTTTACCAGTGAGGCCATCTTAGGTTTATATACAAAAGTAAAACTGAAAATATACTTTTGTTCTCTGTACACATAAATTTTTTTCCCCTAAAAAAGGAAAAAAAAACCTTGTCTATGTTTCTAACATAAAGTAAAACCAAGCACAAAGATTTTTTTCCTCTGACGAGAAAAAAAAAAAAAAAAAACATTTTGCCCTTTTTTCCACTATGGCGGGAACAAAGGCGTTTACCCCAAAAAAAAAAAAAAAAAAAATCAGTCCAATGAAATAATGTCTGGTATGATACCAAAGATAGACGCCGTGTCCGTGCTGCTCCTACTTGCAACGGGATGCCCATGATTCTCTCGCAGGCTGTTGGAGGAAACAAGACTGCTGTTACTGCCACTATTGCTACCGTTTGTGGCCGGCAGAGAACCGCTTCCTCCTGCATTGAGCTGATCGAGAAACATCTGAGATGAAGTGTAGGGGAAAAAACGAGAGTGTAAGAGTTCTTGATCATCTGAGGCGGAAACTGCCGCGGCTGCAGCCGCAAGAAGGGATGTGTTGTAATGCTGGGGGGGGAAAAAACAACATTTGCAAGTTACATTTCAGATACCGTCGTTGCGATTCAGAGCAGCACAAAAAGAAGGTATTTGTAAGCTAAAGCTCTGACAGCTTCTGGCTTTCACATCAGTTCATCTACTCAACCTCTCTGTGAAGTAAATGGACCGATGGAGTGAACTTTTAACTCTGCAGACACTCATTTCCGAAGCCAAAAGAAACTGGAAATACTAGTATTAGTACAAGCAAACGCTAGAAAGGCAACAGTATCCAAAATACCTAAAACAGTAAGAAGCAGCACTCTTTTACCTCGTCAGAAAACACTTTGGTGGAAAAATTCCCCCAAATTCAAAGGAACATTTTGCTCCCCCTCTCCTCCGCTCAAAAGTTACAGACCAGGCACAGCTGGTGGGGGAAAGCACTTCTGTGAAAAATGCATCTGGAAACAGGACCCTGAGTCCCATCAGGTGGCAGCAAGAGCTGTCCTGAGTTGTACTCTTTAATGGGCAGCCCATGAAAGGCAAGAACTTTGGCTATCAAAGATCAGATTTCAAATACGATCTCTCTATGGGATAATTTTGCTCATGCCAGCTATTCAGACTTGTTCCCCAAAATTCATGGCATAATTACACCAGTGCCTATCAGTACAGCATCAGACTTGGGCGTTACTTGTTTCAGAATAATTCTCCTGTCTATGTTTCACTGAATACCAAGGCAGCTTTTCTGAATCCAAGCTCTACAGTGCAGGCTCTGGTCTTAATTATGATACAAAAGCCTCCCTCTACGTTTAGCGCAACTCTCCCACTTGAGATTGCAGGACTCAGAGGGAACAAAAGGCAGCTGAGTCACCCCAGCCCCCTTCTTTTCTTGGATGCACAGGAGGAAAAGTGATGAGGCGGGAGGACTTGCCAATCCAGACTCCTTTTGAGATTGACCTGCTCAGTTCCCAAACTGGAAGAACCAGCACCAACCTAGTACCTGTAAGTAAGCACTTACAGAAAGGTGGCAAACATGGTATGAACTGGCACACAGCCTCACAAAAACCAGAGCTGCCCATGCCTTATCCTCCACCAGAATTCAGACAACACTTATGTTTGG